CCGATCTTCGACGGCAGCGAACGGAAATACCAGATATGAGCCACCGGAACCACGAGCGAGATATGTCCCATCCGTTCCCGACGTACCTTTTTCTCGGTCACTTCCACGCCGCAACGGTCGCAGACGATCCCTTTGTAACGGATCCGCTTGTATTTTCCGCAGTGGCATTCGTAGTCTTTCACCGGGCCGAAAATCCGCTCGCAAAAAAGGCCGTCCCGTTCGGGCTTGTAGGTGCGATAGTTGATGGTTCGGGTTCAGCACCTCGCCGCTCGAATTTTCGAGAATCTCCTCCGGAGATGCGAGACCAATGGAAATTTTCGAAAAACCGCTCTGTGCCTTATTGTCTTTCTTGAATGACATATTTTTAAACTTTTATTTATTCTTCAACAAGTAAACCTTCGAGCCGCGGCGAACTCGGGATCTTCCGCCGTTCGTCAGCAACACCGCTCTCCGGCCGACGCACTTTTAGTCCAGCTTGACGCTGATGGCCAATCCCCTGAGTTCGTGCAGCAACACGTTCAGCGATTCCGGAATGCCGGGCTGCGGCATGTTGTCGCCTTGACAATCGCTTCATAGGCCTTGGCACGTCCCATCACGTCGTCCGACTTGATCGTCAGGATCTCCTGCAAAATGTTCGATGCGCCGAACGCCTCGAGCGCCCAAACCTCCATCTCTCCGAAACGCTGACCGCCGAACTGCGCTTTACCGCCCAGCGGCTGCTGCGTAATCAGCGAGTACGGGCCGATCGAACGGGCATGCATCTTGTCGTCGACCATATGGCCGAGTTTCAGCATGTAGATCACCCCGACGGTCGCCGGCTGGTCGAACTGCTCACCGGTACCGCCGTCTCGCAGATAGGTGCGACCACTGCGCGGTACGCCGGCCTGAGCCGTATATTCGTTGATCTGCTCCAGCGAAGCCCCGTCGAAAATCGGCGTGGCGAACTTCAGACCGAGTTCGCGGCCGGCCCATCCGAGCACGGTCTCGTAAATCTGTCCGAGGTTCATACGCGAAGGCACGCCCAGCGGGTTCAGCACGATGTCGACGATCGAACCGTCTTCGAGGAACGGCATGTCCTCGTCGCGAACGATCCGCGCCACGATCCCCTTGTTTCCGTGACGGCCGGCCATCTTGTCTCCCACGCGCAACTTGCGCTTCTTGGCAATGTACACTTTGGCCAGCTGGATAATTCCGGTCGGGAGTTCGTCCCCGTTGGTCAGGTTGTATTTCTCGCGCTTGAGAACCGCATCCAGTTCCTTGTACTTGATCGTATAGTTGTTGATCGTCTGTTCGATCAGCGTATCCAGACGCGCGTCGCCCGTCCATTTATCGGTGCCGATATTCAGGTAGTCGAGTTCGGCCAGCATTTTCTGCGAGAAACGCGTCCCCGCGGGACCAGTTCCACCCCGAAATAATCGCGGATACCGATCGTCGATTTGTCTTTGAGCAACGTCCACAGTTTTTCGATCAGACGCTCTTTCAGCGCATCGGCCTGCTGCAGAACTCGGTCTCCATCTTTTCCAACTGCGCCTTTCGGAAGCCTTGCTCTTCTTGCCGTCCTTATTGGCGCGGCTGAACAGTTTCTTATCGACCACGACGCCGAACAGCGAAGGCTGCGCCTTCAGCGAAGCGTCTTTCACATCGCCGGCCTTGTCGCCGAAGATCGCACGCAGCAGTTTCTCTTCCGGCGAAGGATCGCTCTCCCCTTTCGGCGTGATCTTACCGATCAGGATATCGCCCGGCTGCACATTGGCGCCGATGCGGATGATACCGTTCTCGTCGAGATCTTTCGTAGCGTCTTCGCTGACGTTCGGAATGTCGGAAGTAAGCTCCTCGACACCGCGTTTGGTATCGCGCACTTCCATAATATATTCGTCGACATGCACCGAAGTGAAGATATCCTCGCGGATCACGCGTTCCGAGATCACGATGGCATCCTCGAAGTTGTAACCCTTCCACGGCATGAACGCCACTTTCAGGTTGCGCCCCAGCGCCAGCTCGCCGCCCTGCGTAGAATAACCTTCGGTCATGATCTGCCCTTTGGTCACTTTATCGCCCTTGCGAACCAGGGGTTTCAGGGTCATCGACGTGCTCTGATTGGTCTTACGATAGCGCGGCAGACGATAGGTCGTCACTTCCGGATCGAACGTAACGATCTTCTGGTCTTCGGTACGTTCGTATTTGACCTGAATCTGCGTCGCGTCCGAGAAGACGACTTCTCCTTCGCCTTCGGCGACGATCTGGATCCGGCTGTCGGCGATCATGTCTTTTTCCAGACCCGTTCCGACGATCGGAGCCTCCGGCATCACCAACGGCACGGCCTGACGCATCATGTTCGATCCCATCAGCGCACGGTTGGCATCGTCGTGTTCGAGGAACGGGATCAGGCTGGCGGCGATCGACGAAATCTGGTTCGGCGCAACGTCCATCAGATCCACTTCCGTAGCCGTCACCACCGGAAATCGCCGTTGTCGCGCGCTTTGATCTTGTCCGGCACGAGGAACTCGCCCGCATCGTTCAGCGGAGCGTTGGCCTGCGCAATGGTCAGTCCTTCCTCCTCTTCGGCGCTGAAATAATGAATCCCTTTATCCGTCAGATCGACCCGTCCGTCCGCCACTTTGCGGTACGGCGTTTCGATAAAGCCCATGTCGCTGATTTTCGCGTAAACGCACAGCGACGAAATCAATCCGATGTTCGGGCCTTCCGGCGTTTCGATCGGACACAGACGGCCGTAATGGGTATAGTGCACGTCGCGCACTTCGAATCCGGCGCGTTCACGCGACAGACCGCCGGGCCCCAGAGCCGACAGGCGGCGCTTATGGGTCATTTCGGCCAGCGGATTGGTCTGATCCATGAACTGCGACAGTTGGTTCGTTCCGAAGAACGAATTGATGACCGACGACAGCGTTTTGGCATTGATCAGGTTACCGGTGTAAACACTTCGTTGTCGCGCACGTTCATCCGTTCGCGGATCGTACGCGCCATGCGGACGAAACCTACGCTGAACTGGTTGGCCAACTGCTCGCCCACCGTGCGTACGCGGCGGTTCGACAAGTGGTCGATATCGTCCACGTCGGTCTGCGAGTTGATCAGCAGAATCAGGTAACGGATGATGGCGATGATATCCTCCCGCGTCAGGATCCTTACGTCCGGAGAGATGTCCAGATCCAGTTTCTTGTTGATACGGAAACGCCCCACATCTCCCAGATCGTAACGCTTGTCCGAAAAGAACAGCTTTTCGATCACGTCGCGCGCAGTCGCCTCGTCGGGCGGCTCCGAGTTACGCAACTGGCGGTAGATATAGACGACGGCCTCTTTTTCGGAGTTGCACGGGTCTTTCTGCAGGGTATTGTATACGATGGAGAAATCGGTGCCGTTCTGGGCCTCCTTATGGATTAGGATGCTTTTGGCGCCCGACTCGATAATGTCTTCAATATGGCTCTCTCGAGGACGGTCTCCCGGTCGATGATGATCTCGTTTCGTTCGATCGAAACCACCTCTCCGGTATCTTCGTCCACAAAGTCTTCAACCCATGTCTTCAGCACCCGGGCAGCCAGCCGCTGTCCGACCATCTTCTTCAGGTTGGCTTTAGTAACCTTTACATCCTCCGCAAGGTTAAATATCTCTAAGATCTGCCGGTCGCTCTCGAATCCGATCGCACGGAGCAGCGTGGTTACCGGCAATTTCTTCTTTCGGTCGATATAGGCGTACATCACGTTGTTGATGTCCGTCGCAAACTCGATCCACGACCCTTTAAACGGGATGATACGGGCCGAATAGAGTTTGGTTCCATTGGTATGGGTGCTCTGACCGAAGAACACCCCGGGGAACGGTGCAACTGCGATACGATTACGCGTTCGGCGCCGTTGATAATGAACGTGCCGCGCGGAGTCATATAGGGAATGGTGCCGAAGTAAACGTCCTGAATCACCGTATCGAAGTCCTCGTGTTCGGGATCGGTACAGTACAGCTTCAGCTTCGCTTTCAGCGGTACGCTGTACGTCAGTCCGCGTTCGAGACACTCGTCCTGGCCGTAACGGGGCGGATCCACGTAATAATCGATGAATTCCAGCACGAAGTTGTTACGCGTATCGGTTATCGGGAAGTTCTCCATGAACACCTTGTACAGCCCTTCGTTTTTGCGGTTCTCGGCCGTGGTATCTAATTGGAAAAAGTCTTGAAATGATTTGAGTTGCACCTCCAAAAAATCGGATAATGCAATCTGTTTTTTACGGAAGAAAAGCTAATACGCTGATTATCTGTTTTTGAAGACATTGTATCCAATAATTAAAGTTGAAGATAAGAACTGATTTGAAATGCGCTTCTGCTTTCAGTTTCAAACGCGGCAACTGACCCGGCAGTTCAAACGACCGATCGGAAAAATCCGTTCGGGATCACTGGTTTTCCACCCCTGCCATCTCTTTTTGCAAAACATAACCGCCCGTAGGGCCCGGTTACTGGCTGTTGCTTCTGTTAAATGAGAAAAGGTATAGAGTCTATCAGAATAGACTCTACACCCGATATGTTCTGAACTATAAGCAGTTACTACTTAACTTCAACTTCAGCGCCAGCTTCTTCGAGCTGAGATTTAACCTGTTCTGCTTCTTCTTTGGAAACGCCTTCTTTGATAGCTTTCGGTGCGCCATCAACCAGATCCTTAGCCTCTTTCAGACCCAGACCGGTAATGTCTTTCACTACTTTCACTACCTGCAGTTTCGCCTGACCTGCGCTCTTCAGGATCACGTCGAAAGACGTTTTCTCAGCAGCAGCGGCGCCACCGTCGGCAGCAGGAGCAGCGGCAACGGCAACAGCAGCAGCAGCGGGCTCAATTCCGTATTCTTCTTTCAGAACATTGGCAAGTTCGTTTACTTCTTTAACTGTCAAGTTAACCAACTCCTCAGCTAATTTTTTGATATCGGCCATCGTAATATAAAATTTTTAAAATGTTTGACTTTTAAACGTTTGGTTAATTTTCGGGAACCATTCCTTCGGCAGCGGACTCAGGCGGATTTTCGATAACGCCCTCCGGCAAACCGTCCGGAAATATTATCCCTTGCTTCGAGGGTTTTAACCAACCCTGCGATTTTTTGTCCGGCAGAACCCTGCAGTGCGGAGATAACGTTCTTCGCGGGAGACTGCAACAGTCCGATGATGTCACCAATAAGCTCTTCGCGCGACTTGATGTTAACCAGTTCCTCTACGGCGGCATCGCCCAGATAGATGCAATCTTCCACGCATGCAGCTTTCAGAACCGGTTTCGGATTCGCCTTGCGGAACTCCTTGATCAACTTGGCAGGACTCTTACCCACGTTGGCGAACATGATCGCCGTTTCGCCTTTCAGCGAAGGGAGCACCTCCTCGTTAATCTTCCCGGTCTGTTCGAGAGCCTTGATAAACAACGTATTCTTCGCAACCACCAGCTTCACTTCCTTTTCGAAACAAAGCTTTCTCAAAGCAGCGGTCTGCTCTGCGTTCAGTTCCGAAGTATCGGTAATGTAGTAGTGAGCGTATGCGGTGAGCTTCTCGGCCAGACTATCAATTACAACTTTTTTCTCTTCCCTGTTCATCGTCTTTCGGTTTATTTGTTTTCAAGGGATTTGGGATCAATCTGCAAGCCGGGCTCATCGTAGTAGAGAGAAATATACTCTTCACGTAAGTACCTTTAGCCGTAGCCGGTTTCAATTTCATGATTACATTCATGAACTCGTTGGCATTGTCGACGATCTGTTCCGCAGAGAACGCGATCTTGCCGATCGAAGAGTGAACGATACCGAATTTGTCGACTTTGAAGTCGATCTTACCGGCTTTCACCTCTTTTACCGCCTTCCGACTTCCATCGTAACGGTACCCGTCTTAGGGTTCGGCATCAGGCCACGGGGACCCAGAATACGTCCGAGCGCACCCACCTTCGCCATTACATTAGGAGTTGTGATGATCACGTCCACATCGGTCCAACCGCCTTTGATCTTCTCGATGTATTCGTCCAAACCTACGTAATCGGCGCCTGCCTCGGTCGCTTCGGTCTCCTTGTCGGGAGTACAAAGCACCAGCACGCGAACCGATTTCCCGGTTCCGTGAGGCAACGTAACGACACCTCTTACCATCTGGTTGGACTTACGGGATCAACACCAAGTCGCACGTCCAAATCCACGGAAGCATCGAATTTCGTAAAGGTAATCTCCTTTAGAAGAGCTGCCGCCTCGCTGAGCTTGTACGCCTTATTCGGTTCAATCTTAGCAAGAACTAATTTTCTATTTTTGGTCAGCTTACTCATTTCAGTAATTTTTATCAATTACAAATTAGGAAATTCACCAACGACATCGATACCCATGCTACGTGCTGTACCGGCCACCATCCGCATCGCGGACTCAAGCGTAAAGCAATTCATATCCGGCATTTTATCCTGGGCGATCTCCTTGATCTGATCCCAGTCACCTTGCCTACCTTTTTACGGTTCGGCTCGGCGGAACCCGACTGAAGCTTTGCGGCTTCCTTGAGCTGTACGGCTACCGGCGGCTGCTTAATGATAAAGTCGAACGACTTATCGCCATAAACGGTGATAATGACAGGAAGTACCTTGCCTGCCTTGTCCTGGGTCCTCGCATTGAACTGTTTACAGAAGTCCATGATGTTCACTCCTTTCGAACCCAGAGCGGGCCCTACCGGAGGCGAAGGATTGGCGGCACCACCTTTGATCTGCAGTTTAATTAACGCAGCAACCTCTTTTGCCATAATTTTCCTTGGTTAATTATTCTTTTTCTACTTGCATAAAGCTCAACTCCATAGGAGTCTTGCGCCCGAATATCTTCACGGAAACCGTGAGTTTCTTCCGCTCGTTGTCCACCGCCTCGATCGTACCCGAAAAGCTGAGAATGGGCCATCGGTAACCTTGACGGTTTCTCCTTCGAAGAAAGGAACTTCGTTTTCCTCCTCGCTGACGCTCAGTTCGTCGACACGTCCTAAAATCCGGCTCACTTCCTGAGGGCGGAGAGGGGTTGCCACCATGGAAGAAGCCTTCGTGTCTCCGAGGAAGCCTAAGACGTTGGGAGTGTTGCGAAGCATAAACGGGATTTCGCCCACGAGAGCGGCCTCGACCAATACATAGCCCGGATAAGAGACCTTTTCCCGGCTGATCTTTTTACCGTTTTTGATCTGGTAAACTTTCTCAGTCGGAATCAGAACCTGGGAGATATAGTCTTCGAGGTGAGAATTCTGGACTTCCGTCTCGATGTATTCCTTCACCTTTTTTTCCTTACCTCCGATGGCACGGATCACGTACCACTGTTTTTGCTCTTTTTCGCTCATCTTTATCTTTTCTTACAGAATTAATAAAGAATACTATATATGGCCTTCATGATGTTCTCGAATGCCAGGTCCATCGCAAGAATCACTACAGCGAATAACAGGAAGCTGTCATAACAATTACCGCTGAATTGGAAAGCTGATTCCAGGACGGCCACGTCACCTTTTGAACAAGCTCGGCGTAGGCGTTTTTAACGTAATTAATAAATCTCATTGTCGTAACGTTTTTAGCACGAGTGGAGAGATTCGAACTCCATCAACGGTTTTGGAGACCGCTATTCTACCCTGAACTACACTCGTTTGTAAGGCGGCGCGCCGAACGCGCCGCCTTGAAAGTATTTCGAAATTACTTAATGATTTCGATGATCTGACCGGCACCTACGGTACGGCCGCCTTCGCGGATTGCGAAACGCAGACCTACGTTCAGGGCTACGGGGTAGATCAGGGTAACGGTGATCGTTACGTTATCGCCCGGCATAACCATTTCTACGCCTTCCGGAAGTTCCACTTCACCGGTTACGTCCAGCGTACGCAGGTAGAACTGCGGACGGTATTTGTGGTGGAACGGCGTGTGACGACCGCCTTCTTCCTTTTTCAGGATATAAACCTCGGCTTTGAACACCGTGTGCGGGGTGATCGAACCCGGTTTGGCAACGACCATACCGCGTTTTACGTCTTTCTTGTCGATACCGCGCATCAGCAGACCGACGTTGTCGCCGGCTTCGCCCTGATCCAGCAGCTTGCGGAACATTTCCACGCCCGTACAGGTCGAAGTCATCGACTTTTCGGCCAGACCGATGATTTCCACCGGATCGCCCACGTGGATCACGCCGGTTTCAACGCGACCGTCAGCACGGTACCGCGACCGGTGATCGAGAATACGTCCTCGACAGGCATCAGGAACGGTTTTCGTTTTCACGCGGAGGAATCGGAATGTACGAGTCAACGGCATCCATCAATTCCATGATCTTGTCTTCCCATTTGGCTTCGCCGTTCAGACCGCCCAGCGCAGAACCGCGGATAATCGGGGTATTGTCGCCGTCGAATTCGTATTTGCTCAGCAAGTCGCGAACTTCCAGCTCAACGAGGTCGAGCATTTCGGGATCGTCCACCATGTCGCACTTGTTCAGGAATACGACGATTTTCGGCACGTTCACCTGGCGGGCCAACAGCACGTGTTCGTTGGTCTGGGGCATCGGACCGTCGGTAGCGGCAACCACGAGGATCGCGCCGTCCATCTGAGCGGCACCGGTAACCATGTTCTTCACATAGTCGGCGTGGCCCGGGCAGTCTACGTGAGCGTAGTGACGGTTGGCCGTCTGATACTCGACGTGCGACGTGTTGATGGTGATACCGCGTTCCTTTCCTCGGGAGCGTTGTCGATCGAGTCGAACGAGCGCAGTTCGGAAAGGCCTTTTTTTGCAAGTACGGTGGTAATTGCAGCGGTCAAGGTAGTTTTACCATGGTCAACGTGTCCGATCGTACCGATGTTCACATGCGGTTTGGATCTGTCAAATTTTTCTTTTGCCATATCTGTAATCTATTTTAGGAATAATTGTTTTACTTCAATTAAAGTTTCCAACACTTTTTGCGAGCGGAAGACGAGATTCGAACCCGCGACCCTTAGCTTGGAAGGCTAATGCTCTACCGACTGAGCTACTTCCGCAAAATCATTTCGTCGATTCTCCGGCGCGAACCGGATTCACTGTGGGCGGAGATGGATTCGAACCCCGAAGTCGAAAGACAGCAGATTTACAGTCTGCCCCATTTGGCCACTCTGGTATCCGCCCAGAATTTTCTCGAAGAACTTTTCGAAACCGAGTCTCGCTCGTTACACCCTAATAATATAGCGCCGCACCCACTATTGTCCGCCGCATCCGCACGCTCTGTCCGTCGCACCTTCCGGAGCCGATGGAGGGATTCGAACCCCCGACCAGCTGATTACAAATCAGCTGCTCTGGCCAACTGAGCTACATCGGCAGTTTGTCACATTTTAGGGTTGGCAAAAGTACGAATAATTTCTTAATGCACAAATATACGCACCAAAAAATTAATCCGCCCCGGCAAATCGACGGTCAACTCAAGGCCTGCGTCAAATCCCAAAAACGCAAAATCGGTGTCAAAGGTACAACGGATTTTGGAATAACGAAATTTTTTATACCAAATACGCTATTTTTAAGCTCAAAATCGTGTCGGTTCCGAATCCCGCCGCGACGGCGCCGGCCGCGAATTTTCATTTCGGTGTCCGCCCGGCCGCAAAAACGGCAGTCGGTCGGCAGATCCGTTCCGGATCGGTAAACACGGACGGATAATAAATACCGGTATATTTTTTATCTTTGCTATGTTCACAATCCCATTTTCACCGTTTCTAACCCGCCCGACATGAAAAAACTTTCCTGCTTTTCGCCGCATCGCTTTCCTGCAGCTTACCTATTTTTTCCGCCCGTGCGCAGGTCGCCGACCTGCGGGGAGGCCCGCTGGGGTTCGAACGGGTCGCAGCGAAAGCCAATTACGCGATTTACGAATCCGCACGCAAATCCTCCGCCGACGAAAGTTGCTGGATACGGATCGACCTGGGACGGCCGTATCCGATCGATTCGGTCAAACTGTACCCCGTCGTATTCGACAGTTGGGACTACTATGCGCGCCCGGGATTTCCGGTACGATTCCGGATCGAAACGTCCGGCTCCGACAGGCCCGTAACGATCGCCGACCACACCGGCAGCGACTACGAAGCCGCCGCAGTCGACCAAATCGACGTCTTCCGCCCGGCGCACCCTGTTTCCGGCCGGTACGTCGAGCTGAGAGTCACCCGGCTACCCGAACGCGACAACGGATACTATTTCGAACTCTGGAAAATGGAGGTATGGTCGGGCGGCGTCGACGTTTCGGAAAACCGGCTGCTCACCGACTCCGACCGGGGTTTCTGGGTAACACCCCTTATTGAGACCGCAACGCCCGATGGAGAAGTCGCCGTACTGAATTGTCCCGAAACGTCCTCCTCCGGCGGCAAGCTGGCGGCCGGTCGAACCGACGGCGCGGGTTCCGCGCAGCGGCGTCACCGTAAACGACGGACTGTTCCGCCGAACGCTCTATGCCAACGCCCATTACCTGCTTCAGTCGTTTTCCGTAGACGATATGTTGAAAGAGTTCCGCGAGCGGGCCGGAGTACCGGCGGACGGGGCATTGCGCGACCTGCATACCGAATGGGTCGACATTCCTGCCCGGTTCGAAAGCGGTCGCTTTCTGATGGGCGCGGGCAACCAACTGCGCTGGGTCGAAAACCGCGAACTGCGCGACCGGATGAACCGGATCGTCGACGGCATCGAACCTGCAAACAGTCGAACGGATACCTCATGGCTTATCCCGAACGCGATATCCTGCATTTCGAAAACGGAGCTTACTGCCGTTCGTGGGTGACTCAGGGACTGATCGAAGCGGGAATCGCAGGAAATCCGAAAGCCTATCCGTTGCTGCGCGGTTTTTACGACTGGTTCAACGCCTGCCCCTATCTGCCGGAACTGGTCCGCCGCGGCGGACAGGGACGCCAGGGAATCATCGCCAGCACCCGCTTTATTTTACGCCGGTAGGAAACCCGAAGACCTGCAAGTCGTGCAGCGTTACTACAGGAAAATTTCTGGATGCAACATTGATCGACAAGGATGTCGACGCGATCTGGAAATATCCGTACGACCGTCCGCACTGTTACCTGATCCTGTCGCTGGAATCGTTCCTCGACCTCTACATGGCGACCGCGACCGGCAGTACCTCGATGCGGCCGTCGGAGGCTGGGAACTGTTCAACGAATATTACGAACATATCGGAGGCAGTATCAGTATCAGCGAACTGTCGCCCTACCCGCCCAAATCC